ATTTTGCACATCGAGAACAACCAAGACTGGAATGTGTCCGTATTATTATTGTTTATTTGATTGTTGATCCAAAATCAGGACTTGATATTTCATCAATATCAGAGTATCCAGATGAAGAAGAAGTTCTTATGGTTCCAGGTACATGTTTCAAAGTAACTCATGTTGATAAAAGTGGACCAGTATGTGAAGCTCATCTTCGACAATTAGTACCTACTGATGAATAGGTTTTTTATATTTTTCTTTATTCATCGCTTAATTGCTTTTTTTTTGCTAATAAACAGTAATTTATATGTTGAATTCGATGACATTATTTGTCATGAATATTAATCGTTTAGTTTTTAATTGATTTAAGAAAAAAAAAATTAAAATTACATCACACATAGTAAATATTTTCATAAGGTTATTAATAATAATAATAAAAAATATAAGAAAATCAAAACAGTATATGTTCATTGTGTCCAATGATGTATCCAATCAAGTACTTCTTGATACCAAATAAGTGAATTGAATGGATTGAGTGTCCAATGATTTTCATTTGGTAAATAAAGCATACGACTTGCAATACCACGTCGTTGTAAAGCTGTAAATGCACTAATTCCTTGTGTCTCAGGTACACGATAATCATGGCCACCATGAATAATTAACATTGGTTGAGTCCAATTTGCAACATGATTAACTGGATTAAATTTTTCAAATGCATCAGGATTTCCATAGGGAGTAAAACCACCAGCATCATGTTCACTAAACCATAATTCTTCAGTTGAATAAGCCATTCCTCTCATATCAAATAAACCATCATGACAAATAAGAGTTTTAAAACGTTGGCTCATTTCTGGATGTCCAGCAATCCAATTTATCATATATCCACCATAACTAGCACCTAATGCAGCAGCTCGATTTCCATCAATATAATTATAACGACTTAAAGCTGCTGTAAGTCCTAATTGTAAATCTTGATATGGTAATGTACCATATTGACCTGTAATACTATCAGTAAATTTTTGTCCATATGAATCAGATCCATGAAAATTAATAGCAATAACAGCATAGCCTTGTGATGAGAATGCTTGAAAATTCCAACGATAACTCCAAGCATCATACCAACTATTTTGAGGACCACCATGTATAAGAAAAGCAAGTGGAGCTTTTTGAGCTGCACCATTCACTGGTTGTACATGCCAACCATATACTGTTTCATTTTGTGAACCTGAAAAATTGAATACTTCATATACTGTACTCATTCGAACTTTAGCCAAAAGATTATTATTATGATCAGTAACAGGTTCCATTGATATTGGTGATGCATATAAATAAATATTAGCCGGTTGAACAATATTTTCATACGTAAACACAAACATTTCATTGTTTGTTGGGTGAATATTAACATCATGAGATGAACCAGTATTTGTAAGACGAATGGGAACCGATGAAGGAGATAAGATATTAGAAAATTTATAAATGACATTACGTGCTTCTTCACCTATTTCAAGAAAAAGTGATTGACCATCAAGTGACCATGTAGTTGCTTGAATACTACGATCCCAATCATCAAGTAGAGTTGTTTTCTCATTAGAACCTAGAAAAAAATACGTAAAAAAAAAGAAGGATATTCAAAATGTATTTGATTAGAAAAGAATAAACTATACCATTGTACCATTGAATTTTGAATTGATCAGATTCATAACTGGGAACTGATTGTGATCGATAAACTAAAATTTGATCATCAGTTGGTGAATATGATGGATCCGTATCAGCTGCTGTATTGTTACATGTAATACATACAGGTTGTGAATTAATTGTATTTAAATCAACAGTAAATATATCTAAATTAGTTGACCAAGCAACTTCACTTGTTTCATCATGTTGTCTTGTAAAAGCAAATTTATTTCCACTTGCACTAAATGACCATTGTGTTTTACCATCTCCAAATGGTCTTGTTGGTGAATCGCTATCAATATCAAAGAGAACATCCATAGGTGTAGATGTAAAATTAAATATGCCTTTAGAATCTCGTTGAATTGAAACAATAAATGGATGATGACGTCGACCAAGCATATATTCATCCCAATGACGAATAAATAATTTATCAAATTTATAAACTAAACTACCACTAGCTTTTTCATTAGCTTGACGATCAGCTGTTTGTTGAATAGTTAAATTAGCATAAACTTGACAACTAAATGCAAGACGTGTTGCTTGACGATTTACTAATAGATTATCAATATCTAATGGATAATCAGTAATTTGAATTGGATCAAGAAAATTGCCCATAGCTGATACATCATCAGGTAAATTTATTTGAAATAATTGATTAAGACCAGATGTTGCTCGATTTGATAGAAAAAGAACTGTTTTATTGTCTACCCAATAGAACTAGAATAACAGACGAAAAAGACATGTAATTCAATTTCATCTGATGACTAAACTTTTTATTTATTTATTTTTTTTAAATAATCTTACTTGTTGATCATTAATACCCCAAATAGGTCGTGTCAATTGAACTGTTTTATTTGTTTCTAAATCAATCCAATGAAGAGTTGTTGAAGATCCATTTAAATCAGGCATATGATATTGTTTTCTAAGATAAATAATCGTCTTTCCATGTATTGGATGAAAACGAGGAGATGAAAGACGATCCAA